ATGTACAGAGAAGAGTTAAGAGAATCTGGACATTGATATTAGGGTGTAGAGGGTTACAATTAACAAAAGGCATTAAGCCATTCTCCGGATAGAGATTTATGCGGTGGATAGCTAGGGTTTTCCACCCTTTGAACCAGTGGAGCCACTTGGACAAGTACCTGTCCTAGTTTGTGCTGTAGAAACTGTCAAGTCCATTAAAGTCCCTGATTGAGAAACATAACATGTGTAATAACCTAACAATCCTAATGCTTAATTTCTTGCAATGTCTCTTTCTGTTAAAAAATAAAGAAAGCAACAACGACAACTTCAAATTTCCGAGGGTACCTAAAGAACAACAGTAACTGATAAAAATTTAGAGTGTACATAGAAAGATTTAATCCTTCAATGCCCAGATGTGATTCCCATGTAACTTCTTCCTACAATATTCATCAACCATCCAGCAAACAGGTAATGAGAATACTCAAATGTATCAGGTAGAAGTTGTCATCTTGATATAATAACAAATTCTTGCAACTAATTTACAAGGAAATGTGTAGTAGTGAGAGGGGGGAATTATCAACCAGATCATGGGAGGGAAAGGGTTAATATGCATCTAATTATATTTCTTCATCGCTTATCTACTCAGTATGGAATCTTGCAAATGGACATGAGGTTGATGAGACAAAGAAGCAAATTAAAAAGTATGAAAAGGAAAATGAATCACTGATCAGGAAAAACAAGTTGAAGTGGGTGAGTACTCTGTCTCATGGTGCTGTTTTTCATGTTGAACCCTGTGTCCAGAAATGCATGCAGTACAAAATTGGAAAAGATTTACCAAGAGCATCAGATCCACCAAGCTGATTTTGTTTTGACGAATCTGACTTAAATTCTTTAAAATCATCAATTCCACCAAGCTGATTTTGCTTTGACATATTTGACTAAAATTTGTCAAAATCATCAATTCCATCAAGCAGATCTCACTTTGAACAAAATTAGCCAAAATTGTTAAATCCATGAACATTCACTTGGTCAGCCATTTTTGTTACTGCATGCATTTCTGGGTTGTGTTGCTGAGTGGGTAAGGCATTGGAATTGACTAATCTGGTGGTCCCAGGTTCAAGCCCATCATCTTGCTACTCACTGGATTTGTTCTCAGTTGCCACAAGTTTAACTCCTTAGCTGCCCTTTGTACAGAAGTCGACTGCTCTGCCTCCTAACAGTTGGGACTTTTAAGTAATATGAGCCAGTTATTTAAACGAAGCTATTGTTTAACAAAGTGAACCTTTTGACTGAAAATTTATTTTTGTAAACAGCGTTGAGGAGGCAGAAAGCTAATAGTGGAAAGACATTTATTTGATCTAATCAAATCAATCAGGAGAATCCCTAAGGTCCACTGCTTGCATAAAACCACACTTTGGGTCAGACATGGTATAAATAATAAGCCCCATATTTATTGATTCATTCATTTTATTCATTCATTTGTATTGACCCTGAAAAGCCCCATTGGGGAAGTGGTAAATTTAGCATACATGTATACATACATACATACAACCCTTTTAGTTGGTGTTTTATGACAAAGCAAGGAGAGAAATGCATTGTGGGTGAACTTTGCAGGACAGAGAAGAAACTTTCGTTCAGCACCAGCTTGATGAGCAACTCAAACAGGAGGAGCTGCGGCGTGTACAAGCTGCTATGTTGGAAAAACAGGAGAGAAATGACAAACAGAAAGAAAATGAGGAATTTCTTGACAATCTGGTAAAGAAGATTTAGATTACTTGGGCTCCTTATTGATGAGATACTTTGATGAAGTCTCAACCCTTTACAGAAGAATCCAGTGTTTAACAATCAAGAGCTTCAATCTTTAGTTGGTGATCATTTCCTTAATTCTTGTAACCTTAATGTTTGATTCCAGGGTGATATTGTAAGGAGAAATTAGATGCTAGTTACTCTTAAAGGCTAGAGGGTCAGTATTGTTCTCAGTAACAACAATTCATTCTATTTCAAAGTCAATTTTACTGCTTATTGGCAAAAAATGTTAAAATTGTGACATACATTTAAACACCTCTTATTGACCAAGTTCAGTAAGTTACAGAACCAAGCATATTCCTCTTGCATATATGGCTCAAGGGAGAAGTGTTAGTGCCATAACTTGGTGGAAAAAGACGATGTTTTGTAAGTTACAATATGAAGAGAGAAAGAAAACAACTGAAATTTAATAAGATGTTAATATTATATAACCCTTTAACCCCTGAGAGTGACTAATATCTAATTTCTCCTTTTGACATCACCCCTGAATGAAAGATGAAGTTCATGAGAATAAAGGAGGTGATCACCAACTATAGAAGCTCTTGATGGTTGAACAAATTCTCCTTGTCAGCACCTTAAGATATGTGTAGGGAGCAGTGCGGAGAATATGCATATTGATGTTAGAGAGTAAAGGGTTAATATCTCTGGGTTCAAATAGTGGGAGAAGATTTCAATTTTAAGTTAAGTTACTAACTGAGAGATATAATTGTGCACATTAGCCAGATGGATCCATTTCCAACTTTCGTTGCAGGTCAAAGGGGATCGTTCACTGGATGACATTATAGCTGAACATGCAAATAATTTGCAGAAGAAATCTTTGCTGTTTTCAGCACAAAACACCCAAATGACTTCAGTACAAAAAGTAAGTTGGTGATAACACATGTAAGTAAATGCTGGATTTTTATTCTTTTGGGGTTTTTTTTTTTGCAAAGCAAACTTGCTACTTTGTTGAAAATGGTGAACATTTGATAAACAACCTGCCTTTAGTAAGAGCCCACTTCAACTAAGCCCTAGGTCCATGAATTTATTAAATTTGGCATGTGCACTTAATCAGTCAACCCGTCCATTCATTCATCAATGGTTTCATTCTTCTGTCTGTTCATCCAACCATCTATCCATTAAAAGGATCCAGGATGTCTGCTTGTACATCTCACTCACTTCTGTCAGTCTCCCCTCCTCTCCCCCCTCACCTTTGTCTTTGTATCATTCACGTGATTGGTATTTTTATATTAGCAGGGTACTGCACGTAGTTTAAGCTAGTAAAGCGTGTGATATTCAGTGTATTATTGTTGTGTTTCAGGAAACATTTGCTCCATTGCCGTTAGCTGAAGGACCCAAGTTCGAATATGTTGCTCCACAAGTGATAACTGATGGGCCAGTTGCTCCAGAAATGGAAGTATTAGCTGCAAGAGGGTCAGTTTAAACTTATCTACATTTAGTCTCCATTTTTTGTTGTTTTTATTGAATGGATTCCGAATCAGTATTGCTATGTCATGTACATGTTACTCTCTGAGAGAAGTAAGGTTTCGTTGAAATGTTTTGCTTATCACTTCTCTGAAACATGAACGCAGCTCCTATTTTGAATGTTATTCCAATGGGTTAGCTTGTTGTAAAGCTCGAACGAACTCACGAACACTTTGAATGAAGGGGGTAAGTTTCTTAAGAAACTGTGGTGCTGCGTCGGTGGGAGAGTATAACAGGGAAATCGAGTATTATCAACTGAGTTGGTAGCGTAAATTGGCCACTGTAAAGCTTTGAAACCTTTACGGTGGCAAATTTACGACATCAACTCAGTTGATAGCACTAAATTACCTCGCGAAAAATCTGTTGTGATTTTCTGAGGATCTACCAGTTACTGTGGGACAAATTTTCGGGTTCATTGCTTTTTCTTGTTCGTATCTAGAGCAATTCTTTCAACTAAGTGTTAGATGTAAGTTTGAACTGCATTGGTTTTGCTTATCTTCACTCTGTGATTGGTTTACAAAATTCGCGCCACTCTCTCAACCAATCAGATTTAAGCTAAAGCAATCACGACTTGGTCACTCGCGTTTTCCCGCATTTTTAATGCAGTTTGGTTGTTATCACTTTGATTTCTCATTGGCTTTGTAGAATATTTCCTTTTCTTCTCATTGGCCATAGTGAATACTTTGGTTTTGGTTTTACGGCACCCAATCGAAGCGAGATAAGAAGCTTTTAAAATGATAATAAAATTTAACCCCCTTTGGCAAGGTTTCATTAACTGGTTACTGGCTGTGCACCAAGATGTCGAAGAGGAAACGAGTTCAAGCATCCAGGGTTTTTAAAGCGAAGTTCTCAGACCTGTTGTAAGATATTAAACGTTGTCAGGCATTTGTTTAATCTTCTGTTCTCGACATACATTGAATATTGGATTTTTTTCTTTTAGATACCTTCGTCATATCCGTACTGCCACAGAAGGCGAGAAAGCGGGAGGGTATACGTCTGAACTAGCCTGTGGCAGAGCAATACAAGAAGCCTTTTCGGCGCTCTATATAGGTGCTGAGTAGAAAAGAGTACCACGAAGATTTTTACTGAACAGTCGCTTCTTTCTTCTAAAAATAGCCTCAGACGTCAAAACTTCGAGACTCAGTTTTTGGGAAGATCTGACGCATTTCGCCCTTGTATTAGTGAAAGGTACTGCGAGAACTTTAATGTAGACTAAGTTTGTAAAATCACTTTTTAATAAATGTTCATGATACAAATAAAATATGGTCATTTCTTGGCGCGGGAAATTTGAGTTTGAGCTAGAGAACTCTCCTCAAAACCTGCAATTGACGGGAAAGAATGAAGCCGATGACAACTGATAAGCGCGGGAAAACTTGCAGCCAGTGATAAGCGAACCAAATGTTGCAGCCAGCGTTAAGTGCGGGAAAACTTAAAATCAGTGTTAACCGCAGGAAAATTTGCAGCCAGTGTTGAGCGCGGGAAAACTTGCAGCTTTTGTAAAGCGCTCAAAAACTTGCAACCAGTAGAGAATACTTCCTATGCCCTCTACCCACAATTAGATCATCAAATCATAATTAGAGGGTCGCAATGAGGTTTACTGCCAGGCGTAGCTGTTAGGCGTTAAAATCGACGCATCTCAACCACCAGTTTTAAAAAAGAGCTACTAACTGTAAAAATCTTTCTTTGAACTATAACGGAAAGAATTTAACCGTCAGCTGTAAAATGGCTAAAGTTTTACATTACCAGCAATCCGAGACATTTTACTCCCGCGGTCCGCGAGGTCAGTAGTTTCTTCAGGTTCTACTGTTCATGCGCTATGGCGTCAGATTTCATGTAAACATGGAGCGAAGTAGATTTCCGCGGAGGAATCGAGTTGATTATAAAGCACTAAATGTTCTTTCTACAGTGGATTTAGAAGTTCATTTGAAAGGAAGGAGAAAATTTAAAAGCGGATCTAAAGTTTATTTTGTGGAGAGACTTATCAGCCGGCGAAGATTGAAGAACGAGGTATGTGTATTGACCCTTTTATGTTCCTGCAGCTATATTTTACTTCGGATGAAATTTATACTACAATCGAAGTAAGTTCATAAACAGCTCTAATCAATCTCTGACAATTTCAGGACTTTGAATACCTAGTAAAATGGAAGGACTGGCCATTGTGGACAAGCACGTGGGAGCCTTCGGCTCATTTGAATGAGCATCTTATCAGGTATATTTAGTTTGTTTTCGATGGTGATTTTAAGCTTAAATGTGAGCTTCATTATAGAAGATGGTTTGATCGTCTTAACCGTAACACGTTTTCGATTCCAATCTTATGTTTTGTTTTCTGCATTAAAAACTTTCTAGGGCATACAGCAACCCCACTGTTACCGTGGAAAGACTACAGAGCGCATCAGTTGCATTTCTGGAAGGCATTCTTTCAATCCTAAAATCGAATGCGGTTTTTTATAATTGGCGCGATTTGGCGCTTGTAGGAGTCTGCAGATTGTTAAAACAGCGGTAAAAAGCGTGGAAATGCTAGGCTGCTAAGCTGAAGTAAATATGGCGACTTTTTTCACGAAGAAAACGATGGAAAGTGGTCGTTCTTCGCGTCCTACAGGACATTCGCGAGCTCAGGTAAAGGTTACGTCTAATAGTGAAAAAGCCCTATTTTCAAGATTGATTTGCGGCCTCCTATTTTATCATGGAAGGCTTTATTTAACGTATTTGAAAGATCGTAAACTGAAGAAAATTTTGAGGGGTCGGCACCGATGAAAGCATGAAACACACGGACAGCTCAAAGCATGGAAGTGAAGGTAAGTGAAGGTATTTGGATGAAACTATAAAGGAAGTACAACCGAAGATCTTTGTTATTTTACCTCTATTCCGCGGCTCGACGAATAAACGAAACGGTGAAAAAACTTTCGCTTCGTAGTGCAGTTGCATATTATTTATCAACGAGAGGTCGGCACGTAGAATTTAATTTATTTAAACTGCCAAAAAATAAGATTTTATTTCAGATCCCATACATTTCTTTGTATCTTCGGGAAGCCATTTTGAAAGTAATCTTTGATTGACGTACGGTATTTGAGACGCAATATGACTCGCATTGCTGGTAATGAACCGTCAGCCGTAAAAAGCCATCACCCCATTAAGACCCCTCCGCTCAAAAATCATTCAATTTTTAATCATACGGACCAATGGAGGTATATAACACACATACAATCATAGATTGAATTTAATTAAGAAAGGGATCCGATTATCCTTATGACCTAAAAAATAGTTTCAAGTACGTAGACTTCTACGGATATTATTTCAGTCCCTGTAAATGAAATCACGAAATCCCTTTAATCTATAACAACTCTTTTAAAAAAACAGGATCCTATTTTGTGGGAAAATGTCGCCATGCATACTGTTCTCAGTTACGCCTTTTCTCGGTCCCTTGGCTTTGTAAACAAAAACTTAAAAGAAAGCGATTTTTAGTTATTAAAAGTCCACCATTCCAGGAAAAAGGTTCACATAGAAGCTGTTCGGAAGTTATGAAGTTTTTTTTTCAGGGGCATGGAGTGTCTCTCGGACAAAACGCAGCATCACATTTTGGAGTGCAGTCCAGATACCAAGAATAAGTGCAGCCTCCTCCACGATTATCGGTGTCATCTCGAAACGGCAATGTCCATGCGGGAACCTCGTTTGCGCTCCATCCACTGCAGCTTTGGCGGGAACCCTGACACTGAGAGCTTCCTTCTGTTTCTTTAAAGCAGACTCGACAAACTGGTTTCTTTGTAATAGTTGTAATTCGAGATTCAATCTTCCAAGCATATTTACAGCCACCACTTCTGCGGTCCGTGTCATCTCGAAAAGAACTCGTCCAAGATGGGGTACGACTCCAATCGGTACACGAGCGTCGGGACCCTTGGCACTGTGAGCTTCCTTCCGTTTCAGTAAAGCAGAGGCGATACTCTTTATTTCTTCTAATGTTATGGTGTGCCTCAATCTTCCATTGATACCGACAGCCTCCAGATCGCTGGTCAGTGTCATCTCGAAATGGCTGAGTCCACGCAGGATTTGAACTCCAACCACTGCAGCTGTAAGATGGTCCTTGGCATTGTGAACTGCGTTCGGTTTCTCGGAAACAAATCCTGAAACCATCCTCGGCCCAAGATGATGACAACCAGCCGATGACGTACACGAAGATTAAAAGATGCCTTCTTGCAGGGGTAAACATGTTTCTTTGCTGACATTGAGTTCAGTTTTCAACCACAACAGTCCGGCTCACTTAAGATACTAAGATCAACAAAAAGAACAAAAAAAAGATAACGGAGAAAGATTAAACAATCGATAGATGCATGCGGAAGGGCAACAAATGGACAACGGTACGAAAGATTAAGCGAAACGGAAATTAACATTTTCTATTTGGGGGTGATAACTTTGATCATGACTAAAACAACACACTAGTAACATACTATTGACATACGAGTACGTACGGCCAAATACGAGTGACATACGAATACATACGGAGACACACGGGTGTAATTCTCCATTTTATCTTTCTTAAATGCATGAAGAGTCACCAAACGGTTTTTGATTGAACGCACACATGCATCACATACATGAGGCTGTTTTCTTTTAATTTCTTTTCTTTTTTTTCTTTCGATCCTAACCCAAAGACGTTTTTTTATCCTGTTTTCGTGGGAGAAGGAGCTTGGCAGATTTCCACCTTGACAAGTTAAGGAGCTTAGGCAGTATTCCCTTAGGAGGAAAGCGCGTTTGATCTTCGACCCATGAGAGTCTTCCTGTTTACGCTTCGCCGCTAATATTACGGATCTATAATATTTTCGCCATTGCAAGTAAATGTCGCGAGAACAATAGGCATTCTGCCCGATGGATTTTCGGGTGTCTGAGGTTTTCTAGTTTCAAGGTCTGAGGTGTCGTGACACCATTAACAAGGAGAAATAATTATTCATCAGGTACCAAGTGGTAATGGTTTTGTTTTCGTTGAAAGAAGTTCAACTCGAATCTAACTCAAACTTGAATTCAGACTAGATGGTTCTCTTTTCCTAGCGTTGTTCAAATAGGTCCTGACGGTTTTAATGAAAAAAAGAGAGAAAAATGGCAAATTATGACCTGTGTGTACTTGTATGTATCTGTATGTTACTAGTAATACTCGTGTGGTATTAAAGTCATAATCGATAAATGTTTCCTTCCCTTTTGTTAACGTTATAGCCACAAACCAAGCACAAAATAAAGGTTTAAAAATACAAGAACAAGGAGAAATGGCATCTCATCTTTGAGAATGATATTAAGTGGTCGAGCCAGACGTTTATAATCGGATGAGAATATTAGCATAAACACGGAGAACGCGTGAATGACAAATTTTTGCTACATATAGTTGCTCCCTCAGTTATCAAAATTCTCGACCCTTATCTTCTCCGCTTGCGAGACGCAAAAAGTATCAAAAATTTCTTGAGGGTTTAAAGATTACAACCAAACCCCAACTCATCAAAATGATAGGCGAATCGCGAGTATTAAAAGTAAGGCAATAGTACCAAAGATACTACGATAAAATGTATGGCTGAAATAGAAATTTAAGTTTAGTAAATTTTCCCCTATTCATGAATTTAGATCAGAAAATTCAGTGAGACTGTACTTACAGCAGATTCTACCAAAGGAGATATTTTTTTGTACATACCAGTGATTAGGGAGGTTGAGTTGTTCATGAATAATCGTGCCTGTTCAAATGACAATGTGCCTAGACGTTGATGACTTTTATTGCCCCCAAAAACAGAAACAACATTCCATCACGTACGTGGTGTTCAAAGGATTTACTTCGTTAATGAGAGTATGGTGTGACTGAGTTCCAACAAAATAAGACGGCATAGGGTAAAACACTTTTGCATTATTAACATGATAAGTAAAGTACTCTTTATAATAGAGATTTATAATTTAGAATTAAAATATACTTTAATTTGTTCTGTTTAGTTTGTAAATTTATATCGAGAGTAATTACTTTGGGACTTACTTTTTATTTAACGCTTAAATAGCTTATTTTTGGTTTTAATAGATATACGAATACCCTTTTGCTTCTCGTTTACTTAACTTTTTTAAAGGAGCATGTTTATCTATTGTAGCATTGACCACAGAGTAAAAGGAATCAAACATATCATTTTCCCTAAAAACATTATCCCACTGAATTGACTGAACATCTGCTAAAAAGTTATCCGGATCAAAGCAAGAATAATCACGTGCAAACCTAGTCATATTGCTCGCTGTCCAAGATAATTTGTTGATAACTAAGAAATTTGGTAAATGATCGGTAAGGCCACAAACCAAATTGTTTTCTCGATTTGACAACCTTTTAAAAAACTATTTGTCTCAAAGATAGCTATTCTGAATTTTTTTTCAGATTTGTAAAATATTTTTGGACTGTCCCTTTTCGGCTTCCATAGTTCATCTCGTAGGACCGAACACAAAGCCATGCGTCTCTTTGCTGCCCTACTCGCGCCGTCGTATTTCGCCTTCATGCTGCGATTTTTCATTATATGTTATTTTCACAAAGAGCGCGCGACGCCACACGAATCATTTGATTAAGTTTCATCTGTCATCAATATAAAAGCGAAATAAGAAGAGTTTCTGTTAAACAAGGCCCAGATGCACACAAAGTTTTCTGGAAAACAAGGCCCAGATATAGATGACGTTTTTCAAGGTGAACATAAACATTATCAGCTTAAACATTGTAAGAAGCGGAAAAGAAAGATGTCTTATCTTTCGTTCCCTGCATCCAGACATTTTATTGACTTTGTTTAGGTGAGGTACCGTCAAAAAGTAATTGACTCACTTGGAATGTAATAGGTGGCTGTGAAAACCAAGAACATTTAAAAAATTACTAATGCTTTGCTTGAAATACTGACAAAGTTGATTCGGTTTAATTGTCATTTTTAACGCTGGTTACTCTGCCAGTTTTAAATGCTTTCTATAATTAGCTGCCTCGTTGTTGTTTTTCAATGCATATATCCCGCAGTGTTAGCGCTAAATATGACAAGTTTGAACGATCTGTCCACATTGTTTTGAGGGTGTAGATTATCACCAACTCCAAACTCATTAGTATATGTAATCACATGAGGCCAAGTACTATTAAGGATTAATTGCACGAGAGTTTTCAAAATTTTCCAAAATTGCCCGAGTCGCGAAGCGACGAGGGCAATTTGGAAAATTTTGAAAACTCAAGTGCAATTAATCCTTAATAGTACGAGGTCTCATGGGATTACTTGTTTATCAATAAAGGGCAAAATTTATACGAAGGAAAATCACGCGCGCAGTCTATTTTTAACAAATTTCAAGATAACGAACGGTTGCTATGCAACGGATTAGCCAATCATTAACAGGTAATCATGCCCTCTCTTGATTACTAAAAATGCCCTCGATTAAGAAAAAATGCCCTCTCTCTCAACCAATCAGCGCTCA